GACCCACACCCATACTCGCCGCTTTTTTCACTGTATTTCCCATTTTTCGCCACTAATGGGAAAAATCGTCTAAAGACAGAGACGTGGTGCCAGCAAAGAAATAAAAGTGGGAGAAACAAAAACTAGCGATACTTTTCGGATTCGTTCAGGGACCACTCTGATTGAGCCTTTTCTCTACGTTTTCCGGGTTGTTTTGGTAGTGATCTACCTCGCCTATTTAGCGCTCGTCCATTTTTTTCGAGGTCTATTTTTTCTCGCCACCACTTCATAAATGGTCAAGCAATACGGCGTCAGAAGCAGAGGTAAACTATCGCGCCATGCTGATCTTGAAAAACTTTCACCCTGTCTAAGTGAGTCTCGACCGACTTCATAAATAACCCGTAAATGATGAAATGGAAGAACGGGAAGATGCTCTTATTCCATAATTTTGCACACTTCATTTTCCAGAAGCCCGTTAAGAGCGACTACTTTATCCACTAATCTTAATCTCCACCACCGTGACCCTCTGAAATTCTTGAACGCGACCCTCGCCTCACAAACACACGTACACAGAAACAAAAACAAAAATGAATACGCTCCCAACTCAAAATCAAAAGACCCCTCTGTCGGGATCCACTATGGTTGACCCTGTTCAGAGTATGAGGACATGCTACGTACTACTCCCTCCGACCACTGATAAGGACAAAGCCCCTTTGAAGTCGTGTTTTCTAGTTATTTTTGCTTCTGTGCACTTATCTGAATTTGGTTTTAGTTTCACTTGAATGGTCCTTCCGAATACGCTTCTTTTTGTCACGATATGCCCAGAAAAAGAAATGAAATTTTGAAGAAATTTCAAAAAGCGAGAGGTGCGGGTTCTAGTCCCGCCTGGGGCGAAAGTTTTGTTCACAACCCAGCATTCTTGTGAAACATTCGCAAGGCGAACTGCGGCCAAAAACAGCAGTTAACAAACAAAAACAAGTCAAAGAAATTTTTCTCATTCCCGGGCGTGGGAGCATAGGATACTACCCTAATTGTGATTTCGATTACATCAGGTAGGTTATTTGACTGATAGAGAAAATCACAAACTTGCAGCAGAAACGCTTATAGAAGTAGCTTCCAAGAATTGTTGAACACGGTTTTCCGAAGCTATCGTCAGCACACAAAAACCGCTGAACCACATGTTGGAACATCTGGAACCCGATACAAAATGGGGGGGAAAGGAGGATAAGCACGCCGCTGTTCCTCATTAAATATTTGTAACTTTTTGCGATCATTTATTTATCAACTAACCGTCCATTATGCATGCGAATGAAGTCATATTCGGAAGGGCACGGCCAGTTACATAACGGGGCTGTACCAAACCACGTACAGCCTCCTTCGGATTGTGATGGATGAAATTGGTCAGCTCTGACACGGTTCGGGCTGTCATTTCCTGAAGAAAAATATTGCCTTAAGCGGTAATCTCTATCGAATTATTCGTATTCCGAGCTACTCAATAGTTTTATTTCTCAGAATCATCACCCTTGAACTTGTACATATTCTTCGAAAATGCCTTTTTAAAGAGAAAAAAACGCTTGATTCCGTAGATATAACTCTACTGCTCAAAACAAATCCAAACTTGTCAAATGTGATGAGATCCCATCAGCGCGGCTGTCACACAATTATTATTAGGCCAACCGAGGGGAAGAGGGCAGCATAATAACAAGCGTTTGAAGAGGTCATCCGTCACATTATTGTTGTCTGGATGCGCCAGAGAATGTCATAACTTCACAGTTGTAGCGGTATTTTGAAAGCCGTGGGGCTACACATAGCTGGCACGCTGGTAGCTGTCGAGCTTCTGTATCATCGCTCGCACCTTTAATTGATCGCGCAGTTATAAATATGCCTTCGCTACCCTGGGAGGAACCACCTGCTTATCCCAATCTTTTCCAGTCTATATTCTTATTAATATTTGTATGCCTAGCTTGGTGCCCATCGGTGCCACTTATCGCTACGTCTTCCTCAAGGGACAACATGGTTCCTTAAATGCTAGTCAGTGATATGTTAGTGGAACAGGGAAATCAGTGCTATGTGCAACACCATTGCCTAAGAACATACTCTTCGATCCCTGAACTCTATGAAATGCTAAAAAGTTCCACTTGCGCGGAAGACCTTCAAGTTTTAGTGGAAGACTGCGAGAACGTACCGATCATTCCCCGTGACTACGGCCGTGGCAATCGGGCCAGAAACGAGTCCGCCATCGCGTTTCTGCCGTGAACGTCTCGTTGTCGAGTTCACTGGCATCGCAATCAGGTTCCATCTGTGATAGTTATGAGAGAACTTCTCGGCCGTGTAATTGGCAATTCGGGCACGCATCTCCTGTTCATCTGTCCAATTTGAAGGCCCTTCAGGTAGCTCTAGCACTGAACAAGCTCTTTATTAGAATGGCTAGAATATTTTACCATACAAAACATATCAAAAGCGGTTATGGCCAAGATTTGATGCTTCCAGAATCTCAAATATTTCTTCTCAAAGCAGATTGCATTTTTAAACTGGCTGGTCATTTTGAAATTATATAACGCTGAGAAGCATTCACTGTATTAGTACGGTTCAAGGCAACCCCGAACTACTTCTAAGATCTTCAAGTCAATTTTCACGCTTCTAAAGTGATTTTCTTCAACGCTAAAACTATTCGGGACCTCCAGCGTGCAATATTATCTATTCAGTTGAATAATAGAATGCAAAATAAATTAGTTAGTCATATATATTACGACTAGGTGGTAGCGCTTATATTGGGTTGTCCAGAAAATCCTGCGACACTTTGTCCAAGATTTTTGACTGTACCTTTTTTGTTGAATGGGATATTCAATCAGCACGGTTATCACCGGTAGCACGTAGGAGACGTGTACTTTTTCTGGGCAACTTCTCAACCCTCTTACTTTAGAAATCCGGCGTTTGCTTCGAAAAGAAGCGCTTCATCCAATTTTCGAGGTGACCTCAATCATTGGATTTTTCTCTTCGAGGTAGCGCTTCAGTGTACTAATTACGCAATATTTAGAAACGACTAAGTCAGGCGAGTAAGCCAAGCACTGCAGAATTTCCCGATCAAAACCCACGATCTCCTTCTGTGTAATCCGTTAATGTAATGTAATGTAATGTGTAATCCTTCGCTGCACACAGATACGGTAGGGAAGGGCACACTTTAATCGAGAATTTTGTCTGCGTGATTTGACGCATGGCTTCGGTTAAATTTCGAAGGGTGGTGAAGCCGACCATGGTCGATACCCTGTGTGCAGGTATCCAGCAGTTTTCTGTAGCGAATCAGTTTGCAACCTCAGCAGAAACACTAAAAAGTCCTTCTTGACGAAGGCCTGCTTTCGTTCCTGCGGGCAGCTTTCCTCCTTGTCGAATCCAGTAGTGCTTATGTGTATAGTTTAGTCAAGGCCAGAGCTATCTTCATTAGCCATCATTTTTGTCAAGAGATTCCTTTGATGCGAAAGAAGAAGAGAAATCTGAATCATGGTCACACGGTTCGCCTCCCCAGACTGGCGCAACCCATGTGGTGTCAATGGCGAACATACTGATCTGTAACCGAGATCGTGCAGATCCTCGACAATTGTCGAATGAATGCACATAAGCGTTGTTGTTAACCTACTACTGGTACCAACCGCGCCTACTTGAAGTTGAGTAAACGCTTGTCAGTCTCGTCTACTACCGTCCAGCTCCGTGCCCCATTTCGAACAAAATATCTCCAGTTGCGAGGGAACAAGGCCAACGGGACACCATGGCCTAGTGAATGACATCCCTCCTGACTACAGCACAGATGCTAGCTGCAAGGACACAAACGGGTGGCTTTACAGGAGCTCGAAAAATAAAATAGGTCAAAAGATGTGTTGATTCAGAGACAAGTTTGAAACAGTTAAACGACCACGTAGCCTCCAA